AATGTCTGCCGATGTTAACAAATATCACGATACCGAGATCTCTTAAGTAATCCATACGGGTGTTTCTAGTACTGTTAATACCCGAAAAAGCTATACCAGGCGCTTCGTGAACACAAAAAACGGGTTAAATCTAATACCAATGAAGACAAAATCAGCGCAGCCAAGATTCGGAATGGAATAAAACAACAACTATACTAACTACACCTAAGGACAGTAATTATTTAGGACGAAATAACTAATACACCAACAATAATGTATAAAAGCCCTATGTGCTTCATTCGAAGACGGCACTTCGTGAACAGAGCCACTTTTCAAAAATGGTTGCGGACTGGTGCGGAATCGAACCAACCCTCTCGCCTCCGCCCATGAGTGCTGCGCGCTATCCACTACACCACCGGCCATCGCACCTCAGAATCAGCCTTTCAAGGCAGAATACACCATTCTTTTCTTGAATGCCTCTCCCACGGAGTATATACTTTTTTTTTCGTGTTGGCTTTTTCTTTGCCAGCTTTCGCAAGTTTTCCGCGAAACTGCATATACAGGAACTTTCTTAATCGAGGCACACAAAGTAGGGCCTTATCAAAGTAGTAATACCATCCCTCACTTGAAAAGATGTACTAATTCCGCATCTGATCCTACTAGTAGCTACAGCGTGCTGAGCAAAAGACATGTTTTCTGGACAAAATTATCGGGGCAAAAACCTTCTGTGGCTCAACAAAATCTTCAGAAATCCTCATACAAATCTGTCTGGACCATACAAATCTGTCTGTACAGTTCCGAAGTTTGAAAGCTCCGGCTCGGACATCATCCGCGGTCAATGTGTTACTGCTCTGACCTATGATCCCATGCACGAAGCTAAATTAGGATCAGTGGAAGCAATAAAAATCTTACTTTTAATCGTTGCACGTCATCCAGCGGGATTTGTCCATTTGTTCCAATAAGACGCATTTTCTCTCGTCTCTTCCGTGCTTCATAAACCGTCTTTGCATCCGGAATTTCCCCTGATTTTTTTTCATTAAAAATCTTAACACTTACAAGAACTATCCTGGCCTGAAGCAGTAAAAGAGACAGATTACAAAGCCTGAAGCTGCGGACAGAAATCTGCACAGATTATCGCGGTGCTCAATGAAAAGCCAGTCAAATCAACGG